GCGCGGGAGGTGCGGATCGGCACCGGTTGACCTTGCTCGGGAGAGTCAAAGGGAGAGGACCCGGAGGTGGAAATGGGCCGGGAAATGGGGACGGATGGCGGGGGGAGCGGGACTGGACCGCCAGACGGGGAGAGACTGACCAGTAGAGGGGGTGAGAGTGACCACGATTGATGGAAATTGAACGCGCGGGCACCTGACCGCCAAACCGAGCCGGAGTTTGGGGTGTGAAAATAATTGCTCCAGAGGTCAAGGCGAGGGACGGGCTGCGGCGCCGCCCCCCAAGAGCGCCCTTCTCCCTCCGCCCCTCCTCATGGGACCAATTGCTGTGTGCAGCTTGGGGCCGGGGCAGCTGGCCAGGGTGAGGGAGATGGTATCAGAGCCTGGCGTCTGGCCTCAGCATCTGGCCTTTTGTGGCTTCTGGGGGGAGGGGGGCGGAGCGGGCAGAAGGGAGAGGAGTCCCCTGTCCAGGCTGTCTCTGGGCAGTGGCAGCTGTGGGGGAGGGCGCAAAGACACTACTAGGTTTGGGGTGGGGGGAGAGAAGAAAAAGGGGCTGCTGACTAATTCCAGCACAAACGCGTTCTTCTCTCCCCCCAATGGGGAGCCTATTCAGGTCCCCAGACGCCTGGAGTAAGAGGCGGCGGCCAGGAAGCATGGCGCCCAGAGTCCTCCTCTCTGCCCAGGGAAAGCAGGTGCTTGGGGTTCAGAGGCGAGGCAGGCCCGGCACAAATCAGAGCGAATTCTGATTTGAGGACTGGGGCTTCGAAAAGGATAACCAGAGTGCCCACCTGCAGAAGGGTGGACGGCCGTGAGCTATCACCCAGCCTTAGCATTTTACTGCGGGGGAAACTGAGGCAGAGCGGGGCGGGACTTGCTCACAGCTCCGCTGCAGCCAGGAGGTGGCCTGGCTTGGGGTGGCATCCAAAACCTCCAGAGTCTTTCTTTGCTGTGAGCACCATTTCCAGATGGGGAAACTGAGGTCCAGAGCTGACAAGATACAGCAGGGGCTTCCAGCTGTCCCCTCCCTCCGCTCTTCTGCTTGGACTAGAACCTGTTGAGCTGGGTCCTCCCCACCTTAGCACATTCACAAGCCCCCATCCTGCCCCTCCCCCTCCCGGATTGGCCACAGGCACCCCGGTGCACCCCTGGGGACTGCCAGGGAGCACAGTGGGTAATTGTCCTGTTTTCTGTCAGCCACCAGGCAATTCCCTGCTCAGCGATGAGCTGATGACAGATCTCATCAAATCCAAGTCCTCTCTCTGTCGGGTAAATACGCGGCGTCTGAGGCATAAATATTTGAAAGGGGCCTTCTAATTACAGTGTGTGTCAGGAATAGTAATCAGGGGCCCTGAGGCAGAATCAAACGGCATTTGACTTTCCTGTGCTTTTGAGCTAGCTTCTCCTGGGTCTGTCCTACCCCACCCCAGCAGAGAAGCGGGGTGCAGGGAGGGCCCAGAGATGGTGGGTGAGAGAAGAGCTAGGCTTGGGGTCTGGTGCCTCAAAGGGCAATCTCGAGTAGCCTCATCACCTCTGGGTCTGGCTTTCTGAGTGAAGCAGAGGGTGGCTGCAGGACAGAGGTGAGGAGGTAGTGGGATGGGGGTGCTAAGCTGAGCGGACTCCCCTCCTCCCCAAAACTGGTAGGCGCCTTTCTGGTGGGGCTGCTTCTGGGACCCCAGGCCCCTAACTACGGACCTGGGCTCTGCTTATGTGAAATGGAGACTCGCAGCCCCCTGCTGACAGTGTGCTGAGGCCCCTTCTTTTCTGGACACTCTGATGCCTTTTATTATGTTCACAAGATGTGTAGCTATCACCACAAATCACAAAACATTCCATTACCCCCAAAAGAAACCTGTACCCAATTAACAGTCACTTCCATTCTCCGCAAATCCCCAGCCCCAGCCCACAAACCCAGTCTGTGGCCCATCATAGACATGCCATCTGTGGCACACACCGTGTGGCTTCTCTCCCTGAGCATCGCATGCTTAGGGTCCCTCCCATGGTAGTGACAGAGCTGCCCCCCTTTCCATGGCTGAGTGGCGGCCTGTAACGTGGGACAGTAGATGCTCAATATACACTTAGTGGATGTCAGGGAAGATGGTCCCTTCACCCTTTCTTCAGGGAACAGCCCCTTCTCTCCCCCCGCCCAACCCAGTCCCCAAGTCTGGAGGGTGGATGGGTTCCCAGGTCCCGGAATACAGACCAGCTGGGGCGGCTCATTGTGGGGCCTAAAAACTCCTAAGCTGGGGGAGACTTGGGCCTTAGGACACCTAGTCATGTAGGAGAGAAAACCCAGAAAACCTCTGTCCTCGGAAGCTCCTAGAAGCTGCCTTTTCTCACTTAGTCTGAAGGGAGGGGCTTGGTCTGGCCTTCAGGAGTCCCCAGTGTGGGGAGGAGATAGGGCCGGCTCCTTACTAGGCTTCACACTGGTGGGGAGGCAGGCTTTTGACTGGAGGCTCTTCCCACCTGCCAGAGACTGGAGCCCAGGAACCCGGCCTGAGGGGAGGCCTTGGAGGGACTGGTCAGGTGGAAGAAACATGGCCGCCTGCTCGCTGAAGCACCCCGTCTGCTGGCGGAGATGTGGCCCCGACACCCAGACTCACAGTCTGTTGGCGGAGACATGAGTCTGCCTTCAGGGGTCTCAGGATGATGTGGGGGGCATGGTCCAGACTTCAAGCACCCAAATCTGCTGGTGGAGGCGAGGCCATCATCATGCCCCACCCCCACC